GCTTAGTTGCTGGCTGGGGTTAAACCACGACACCCAGCCAAAACCAGCACATACAGATATGCTATTCTTGGAATGTTCAGGATCTGAATGCTGTGTGTACCACTTGAAATGTTTCTGTAACACTGTCAGTGAAGGGTACAGAAGAGAGTGTTGAAAGTAAGTGGGAGTGGACTTGAAGCTTAAGAATTGGTGGGGATCAGAGAAATAATTATGATTTAGATTAATTGCAAGGAGGATTGTGTTTAGATGTGAAAATCAATATAGCTCTTTCACTTACATTCCTGACTTGCATTGGAGATGTAGGAAAACTTAGAATATAGTTTCCAGACACTGCAGTATACGTCAGTCACCCAGTACTGACCTCAGGTTGTAGATGTGTTTTTTGCAGTGAGCCTCCCCAGCTTTATGTGATAACAGAGGAGAAAAAGCCCTACTTTTTTTTTTCTTTAAACTACACCATTCATCATTGTTTTTGAAGGAAGAAGTAACTTTACCTGTTGCTTTTCTCAGTCACTTCAGACTGAGAAATCTAAATGTAAACCCCCTCAATTTCAGACTTGCAGAAACTTGAACTCTTGTTGTCTTTTTACAGGCCCAGCGTCTCCCATTTCTTCACAGCTCAAACATAGCACTGGATACTCTGAGGGGAAATGATGAATGCATCGGTTTTGAGGATATCCTTAATGGTAAATACATTCTGTTTTGAATGTTATGGGAACATTTAAAAGTAATATTTGGGAACTGCGAAGTTCTTTGCCTCTACGGAATAAGAGAATTAAACGCACAAAATACAAAGAAAAAATTGAATTCCTGAAGGCAAAGAAGCACTAGGGGAAGGAGAAATAAATGTTGTTCAGCTGCTATTTGTGCAGAAATTATTCTGAAATATTGAGTAAGGCAGTATTTGCTTGTAGGCTGGGTTTCTAAAGGAGTAGAAGATTATGCACTTAGATTGTATGCCTGTTTCCCCAGAAACCTTTGAACTACTTGTACAGATTTTGACAGGTGGAGGTTACAAAGATGCAAAGTTTTTTTAAGTTCTATACTTAAAAAGAAAGAAAGTCTAGAGGAGAGATACTGAACTAATGAACCAGAGATGTGGCAGGGGGAAGGGTCCCTCAAATTAACTCACCAGTTTGCAGTTGTGTGGTGGGCTACTGACTGACAGTTAGTATGTGTGGAATAGAATAAACCTGGAAAAATAGTTTGAAAAAAATTATTTCTTTCTAGCTGGTAGTTAAGGACATGGAAGGCGGCAGAGGGTATTTTGAGGTGGGATTGGAGAATGGAAGGACCCAGGGAGGTAGGAAACTGGAAATAATGGAGGAGTAAGTGGGATTCTAGAGGCATGAGGTACATCTGGGATTATTTTCTGGGATGGATTTACAGGGAGCAAGGGAAGGAATCTTAGGTTATTGTGATTCAGGGGGTAGAGCAATGTCAAACATGATTTATAGGAATTTGGTTATTTACCATTGCTCACAACAAGCTGTTACATATTATAGAGTGCTGAGGAGTGAGTATGTAAAAGTGGTTTTGGTTAAGTTTCTATTTATCAGCTGGGGCTAGATTAGATAATTTTGGTGTCTCTGGAGGAATCAAAGGCATTAATATGCCTTATTTATGGAAGGAAAACACTCCAATACACCCATCAAGAAAGGTCTGTTTCTTCCAAAGTGCAGTCACAACCTTCTTTCTGGCCTTGATTTTTTTCTTTATTTTTAATTTTTATTTTTTGTATGGAAATGAAGTTCATACTGTCAGTATTGGTATCTCTTGTGTGCTCTGCACATTCCTTGATTAACCTTTGAGTACAGTGGTTAACATCAACCATACTTTTACAGAATGGAGGAATCTCAGAGAGATTTAAGGGCATAGAAAGTCTGTGAAACTAGGCGGTTAGGTGGAGAAGAGAAACCATGAATATGTCCCAACTAACAGAAGGGAGGAGCATGAGCTCCTATTGTGCAGAGAAGTTGCATTGGAAAGAGATGTGGGGCACCGATGGGGAAAAGAGCTTCAGTCAGACTTGAGTTTTCTTAAACACAAAACTCAACCAGCCTTAAGATTCGGGCTGTAGGAGACTGTGCTTATGTAGAACTGATGGTTTTACTTGAAGTGTGTGTGGGGGGGGTGTCCTTATGAAACACTGTTCCACTGTAGATGTATTTGTTATCTCATCATTGCTTTGGATAGAGACTTAGGAGTTACAGACCTGCACTGTGCAACACTGTCAAAAATCAGTCAAGTAACTGTTGCACTAAGCATTAGAATGGAAGAAAAAAAAAAGGTCATGTTCATAGTTACTGTTGGTCTCTGTAGCTTCATAAAAGCCTCATGCTGTCAACTTTTTTTTTGCAGATCCTTCACAGAGTGAGGTTATGGGAGAACCACACATGATGATGGAATACAAGCTTGGTTTATTGTAACAAAACGTACTCTGCAAGAATGTTTTGTGCGTGTCTTTATACTGCAGATTTAAATACATGATACTAAATTGACACTCACAGTGTTAAGCAGTCCTATAGTTATCATTTGCCTTCCTTGATGACAAGGCGCATTAAATGTTTAAAGTCTAAATTGTTCTGTGCTTGTTGTCAATTACATAAATGTCTTGTAACTAGGTAGTTTAAATAATGTCTCTTCATACACTGCTCAGGACAGTAGCTTCTTAACTATGGAAATGCTATATATGTATACAAGAAATCCAAAAATACCCATGCATTTTAAAACTGATTACTGTAGGTAAATGCATTTAATGGATGTTCTTGCAGAGGAACTTTTTAAGGGGGAAAAGAAGGTATTTTCCATTGAGTAACTCTTTGTTCATGAAAATTTCCATACACTTTTTAAACTATTGAATAAAGGTTTGCTATAAATGCTGCTGCGTTCCAAAATATATTTAATCATAAATCAAGAATCTCTTATCCACAACACAAACAGTGTTGTTCCTTTTTCTTGCAATATCTTTGAAGATCTTTAACTTCTACACTGCCACTGGAATCCTGCTACATACATTTTATCCCCCCCCCGTTGACAGTTGTTCATGAGTGAGCCATTAAGCTTTTGTGTAGAATTGGAAGTATTGCTGTAAGAAGGCAGTTAAAGGTCTGGATTTTTTTCATCTGTGTCCCTGAGAGGATATTCTGGTTTCTGGAAGTAGAAGCAAGTTCCACTTGGAGTTTAAAGAAGTGCTTTAAAATCCATGTGGGAACGTAATCCAAAAGAGCATTCCTAGATCTAGGTATTTAAGTATTCAGAAGGAATGCAGTGCCTAATTAGGATAGTACCGAATAAAGCTGCTGCAGTGAGAACATGAAGATACAGCGGTACTACATGACAAATACAGAAATAATGTTTTGTGGGTTTACCAAAACCAGATCTTAATTAAGGGAGAATGAGACCTATACTTAAATACACCTTTTAAAGGAGCAGGCCAATGAAAGGTTTTTTTGTTCGCTTAAGCGGGGCAGGGGTGTGTGTGTTATTAAATTCAGGGTTATAACAACTATTTCCTGATTTCATACATGTGCATGTATCACATATAAACCCTGCAAGGCAGCTAGTATGATGTGGTGTATCAAGAGGAAAAAAATGTCTGTGGTTCAAAAGATGTCATCTCTTGTCATATGTGGAGAGCCTGAAACAGTATTTCTAAGCCAGGAACTGTCTTTATTCAGCAGGTTTGAATGACTTGTTTAAACTGCTAAGTGCGCTTAGTGTTCTGTTGTAGATAATTTTAGCAGAAATATTGCTGTAAACCTCTTTTCACAATCCCAAACATCTCTTGTGCTTTTCAGTGTGCTTAAAGCTGCCCCAAACTCCCTATCCACGTAGACAAAAGCTTCTAGCTTCTGTCCTGTAAATTTTACAGTGCTTTTATGTGCATCTCTTGCAAAACATTGCAGCAAATTAAAAACATTGAGATGGCACAGTACGAGACACTTTACTGGTGGTTTGTTTTTATATTTAAACTTGTTTCATTTAAAGAGTGAAGCTTCTAAAATTGTTTTTCACTTGAGAGTTGCAGAGATTAGAGGCTTGTGCTATGAAATATAACCTCTTTCCTTCGTATTTTTTGCCTTAGTGAAGTTATACATAGGACAAATCAAATGTGCAAGCGTAGACCTAAACACTATTTTGTTTTCCATAGCTGTCCTGGTCTTGCTTTGAGCTGATATACTTTACTAAACATCAGAATTGACTGCTATTTTATAATTGACAAGTTTCTTGGCAGTTTTGCATAAAGCAAAAGTAAACTATTGCTATAAAGCAAGGTTAGAGTTCAGTAGGCTTTATGTTGCTTTAGGCTCAGGCCAGGAGGGCTGAGGGATTACTTTGCCAGGTCTGGGACAAATTAAGGAATGGGCATGGATTTTTAAGAGGATTTTCAGGTCTGCCTTCCTACTAGCCCTGTTCCAGAAAACAGGGAGCCATCCCACAGTTCTACACAGTTACTGGTACCTTACAGCTCCCTGCCTCAGTGTATCTAGCTAGTTGGCCTTTCCTGGTGTTAGTTGAAAGATGGATGCTATTGTATCTGAGCAAAACTACATTAAGACAAGTAACTTAGTACACTTTGTCATCAGTGCAGTGAAGACTGGACACAGATGAGGAGGCTGGATGCAATTTCTAGGTGGTTTTGTTCAACAATTAGTATACTTTATTACAAACTTGGGTGAGGTCAAGCCATATTCAAAGCAAGGAAGTTGTATTGTTCGTTATGTCTGTAAGGAAGCTGATCTTAGGGGTTAGCCAGGCTGGAAAGCAAATGGTATGGCCTGTGCAAGAATTTATGCGGTTAATAAAGTAATGGGAGTCGAACAGGACTGAGGCAAAGAGGTTTTGAGATAAAAAGGAAGGGTGACACTTATGTGGTGTTGCAGTGGGTTGGGGTGGGGACTGGTCTTCCTGGCCCAGCCCCTTCTCCCTGTTTCTACAAGCCCCCTGGCAAGTAGCAACCCACGGAGGTGAGCCAAGTGAGGTGTGCTGGCAAGTGGAGCTGGGACAGAGCCAGCCTTGGTCTCACGTTGGACCCAACCTGGGCGAGGGGAGGAAGGCACTTATGGATCTGCTGGTCTAATAGGTGCAACACAAGCCCCCACCGTGCTGACTTCTTGCAAGCAGCAGTGTTGTCCCTGCTCTGCAATTCCCCACCTCCTCTTGGTGCTGATGTTCTGGGCAGCAATCTTTCCTCTCCCCAAGCGCAGGAGGGGGGCAAAAGCACATCTACCTGCACTGCTGTTTGTTTGTTATGACCACAAAAAATAGATGATACCATAGTGCTGCTGCTTCCGTTTACATAAACGGTCCTCCACCAGTAATCCTGTTGGCCATTTGTCAAAAAACAAGGCAAGAACTTCAACATAGAGTTTAAAAAAACAAACTTCATTATTAGTTTCTGTCAAAATAATTTGCATTTATATACAAATAGAGCAACTATTATAAACTTTGAAGATTTTCATTTGATAATGTGAAGCATATTAGTACCTGGTTTCCTCAGCTTGCACCGTGCTAGGCACTTTAAAAAGATAGTTCATATCCTTCATGTGTTTTGACCTAAACTTACAGCCAGTTCTAAATGCTGCATCTACCAGAAATCATTTGTAAACAGCAAGTACTTTGTACAGCAAAATCAAACCACAACAAAGCCATTCCTGAAGGTTACGTGCTTGTTCTCGTTTGGACCGACACAACGCCACTGCAGAACTGGCTTGCTTTGTTGCCGCCTTACAAGTGCCAGCAGATGTGTGCATTGAAGGGAAAGCGAAGGCACACACCCCTTCTTCATTTGCTTTACATTTTCCAGGCAGTTTTGTGCGAAATAGTTAATTTCATAAAGCCTTACATAACTGCATAATCAAGAGGCAAGGAGGACAATGTAATCTTTGTGCTGAAATCCTTTACATCAGTGTTTTCTTAATCTCTCTACAAACACTCATTATTTTGTGGACCCACTGATTATTGTAAAACTGCTCGCTTCTCCAACAAGTTGGCAGCAACTTGGGCACCTCAAGGGAGGAGAGTTAAGCGCTTTTATTTACTGGCCAGTGTCTAAACTAGCTGGGAAAAGGTAATGATCTTTAATTGTCAAAATCAGCCTTGGTAGTTCAGGACAGAAGTGTAAGAGCTGGCTATAGTTACTAGCTGTGTAAATATTCATTGCCCCTGTCCTGGATAAACAGCACTGTTTCCACCAGTGACAGTCTCCTGGGTAGGGTAAACTCTCCTTTACCTTATTTGAACCCTCTTTCAAACTTCTTGGTGATCATGATATATAGCTTGGAAACAATGCTGTCATTCAAACAATAGTATCATGATGTAGTACTAATTTTTTTGGTGGAGTGCCACTGAGAAGCTCTGAAGAGTACTCTGTTCATGTGATGGATATTAATTGCTGTAAGCAGAGAATTTTATACAGCATATACTATGTCCGTCTTTATTTTTATCCTATGCAGTGTGCATGTGAAGTCAGTTCCCATATTGTAGTTGCTTTCCTAGAGTCTTCCGTCTGTAAATGTCAACCACTTTATTTTGATTTCTCTACCTAATCTGTTCTGGGGGAAGAGAGTCAGGTACAACCTACCTGTACTTTCAGGGATCAGAACAGTATTGACTGTCAAACTTCCTCTGAAAAAAACACATGGAAGTGGTCCTTAACGTGGTGTTATCTTTACACTTCTGCTGTGCTGTGCATTCCAGAAGCTAATACTCTGGATAATTTCTACTTAAAGATCTCAAGCAAAAAGGTAAAGAGTCAATGTAGAAACTGATTTCTAAGTTTGGCAGCGTCACCAGTTTGCACTGTGGCCCTGGGCAAGTCACTTGTCCTCTCTGTTAATTTCTCTCTCTGTGCAACAGGGAGGATAATATCTATTATGGAAGGAGGTTCTTAACAGCATTTGTAAAGTGCTTTGAAGATGAGAAGTGCTGTTCAAGTGCTTATAAATTATGCTGCATTCACTGCAAGATGATCAGATGCATGATTCAGATTTGGTCACCTCATTTCAGTGTTGTTAAAAAACAATCAAAGACCCACTGAAAAGAAATGCTATTACAGCCTTTAACTAGAAGAAACATTTAAGCTCAGTACAGCCAACTTAACTACAAAACAAGTATCTATGGGACAAAAAATAGAGGTGTCTATCTGCAGTCCCTAATATATGGAAAACAATAAAAATAAATGTGCAATGTGGCCTCTGCAAAATGTAGGCATAGGCATAACTTCACACTCTGCAAGCTGGAAATTTTCTAAGTATGACAGTTCTGTGTGAAAATCCCTTTTAAGAACTAAGTCACAGGCAAGGTCCACACATCATACATTAAACTTACTTATACAAACGGTCTCTGCTAACTGCAGAGCAGTAAGTCTACTTAAAGCAGGTGCAAGTACTGCCTCCAGTTTAGTTGCTTTCTGAAAAAACTACCATTTAGTTTAGTAATTTTAGACAGCTTTGGGGTCTTCACCATTAAGACAGGCCTTCTAAGATGTACACAGTGGACCGCATCCTCAGCTGGCATGAGCTCCACTGGCTTCAGTGGAATTGCCAGCACCCTCTGAGTTGATAAGCTTATCTCTGTCGCCCTGCTTAGAATGATACAAGATGTATCACAATACACAGCTGACATTCTCAAACTTGAGAAAGGGTATCATCCTATCTTATTTTTTTCTTCATGCTGAAAGCAGCATTAAAATCTCCATTGCCAGCCTATTTGCATAGTGAAGTATAAGAGCTAGCTTTATTCATGTGCTAAATAAGAGACTGGATAAAGAGTGCTACCAATTTAGTGCTTATTGCTGCAGGGCCACTTTGAGATTGCATCTGCAACTGTTGTGTTATCTCTATGGTCTCTGTATGACATAATGGTCTCTGCCACTGCATGTCAGGTTAGAAAACCCAGGTAGGTGAATCCTTTGTTCAACTGTCAGTGCTCTCTATGCTGGATACTTCTTCAGGTACAAGCAGAGCCAAGTCCTCCCCATTCCAGCTTGTGCACAGAAGCCAGCTGTAAGACACAGATAAGACGGGTATCTTTAGCTGAGATAGTTACGTATAGCATGCTGATTCAGCACCAACAAACACATCCGCTAGCTCTGTTACAGCCATCTTCTGTGGCACAAAGCTGTCGACTGGTCTCAAATAGTAACACTGCATGACACTCTAAAAGGTTTTAGAGAAAGCTTGTTCCAAGGGTGGGATATCCGGGACGCTAATGACAGAAGGAAAAGAAAAATTACTTCCAGAAATTTATGGTGATGATGGACTACAGTCCTGATTGTAGGATAGACTAATTGATGGTAAATATCTGTTGCCTTTTGCAGAGGGTAGAGTGCTTTTTTAACAGAAACTTTCTCTGCCATACAGCAGTGAACTAAACTAAAACTAATATTCAATAAACCACAAGTATTTACTGGGCCTTTGTTAATCTAACTGAATTCCTCACTTTTTTATTACTTTACTGAAAAGTATTCTCCACGCTCAGCACAAGACCTATTTGCTTCAATTCCCTCAGGTCTGAGACCCATCACTACCTTAGTCTTAAGTTATGACTAGTGCAGCTTCTCTGAATAGACTGTGTAAAACACTGTAGTCAGGCATGCACAGACTTGAAATTATGTGAAATGTTATATATCTACAGCATTATCACTGCCTATCTAAAACTTAAAATGCAGCTGATACAGAGATAAAAGGTGACTGAGGTAAAGTCTAAGCATTAGAAAAAAGATAGAAGTCTCCAGCAAGACTACCACCCTCTTCAGAAAAACAGCTTCTCCTCCCCCCGAATTTAAATGTTTCTAATAAAAAGTGATCCTTCTGTCATTTAGATCGATGTTCCAGCACCCTAAAAACCCACAATTTATATTGGAAATAATGTAAAGTAAACTTTGCTTTTGTGAATAGTCATGAGTAATGACCTTTCACTGTCAGTATTACTAGGTGGTCACTAGATATGATTAGATGCAAATGCTACAGATGCATATTTTTTAAACATGTCTAGAGGTTTATTCATATGGGGCTTAAAGTTAGTGCAGATCTTTTACAGATTTTGATGGTACTGGGTCAAAAGGTACACATGACCATAGGCTGGGACAGATAATTTTCCATTAAATTCACTGCATGATTGGTGATGTTTACAACCCTCATTAGCATCTAGAAGAGCTCAGACTGCAAAACTAAGCTCATGCCTTTCAAGTGATCTGCTACTTTTGTACTTTGTCAAAGGCTTTCCTCAGGGACATGTGGAAAGGTCTCAAACCAAGGGAAGGCACAGACACTTGCAGTCAAGGGTATGGTGTATCCCACTACTAGTACATTCAGGGCAGATTTCAGTTTGGGGGAATTAGATGACAAGTTCATGGCACGGGGCTAAGGGGAGGTAGCTGGATCAGGGCCAGAATGGGAAATCTCCAGCAAAGGTGTAGGGGGGTAGGTGTTGAAGAGAGAAGAAATGTAAAACTAGAGCTACTAGAGCACACTAGAAAGTACTCAAGTTTGAGAACTACTGCACTAAACCATTCAGCTTCAACTCATATCAAAACAGAAATTACTGGCAAAGCAGTCAGAAGCATCCTCCTGATCTGTACTTACCATAGCACAGCCAGCGGAATTAGACAAAGGCCTGCTGATAGGAGGAAGCTAAAGCCTGAAAACCATGCAACAGTAGCTGCATAGAGAATATTAAAAACTGAAAGTGAAATAGTGCCGGTCACAACTTCTAAACAGGCAATACAAGCAAACACAGCACCTGCCAAAAACAAATGGATAAATTACAAACAAAACAAAATAAAACCAAAACGCCTTCAAAGTACTGAAGTTTTAAAATTTGTTTTGAAAGATCTATCTATCTATCTACAGTTTTTAGCAGGTATGCAATTAACAAGCACACAAGTATCGTATGTCATTGCTATGGAATTGTCTTTCTGCAAAAGACTCAGTTTTTAAATGAAATAAAACAAAAAAAAACATTTTGCTGATGGAAACTATTTTTCCTTGCTACTGTTCTGTCACTGTACCTATTTTCTTGAATCTGCTTATCACATGAAGTTCAAACTGTTCATCCTCAATAACCAAGTTCTGCACATCTCCATTCTTTACCCCTTCCAATTCTCCTCTCGATTATCAGTCTTCCTTTTCTTGTTTCTTCCTTCTCTAATCTTCACTCTTACATGTGGAAAAGGCTCTGATCCAACAAAGACTGCTGGTTCAGCACATAACCATCTCCTTCCCATTTTTGAAAGAAAAGAAACAACATTTTTTGCACTGAACTACCCATTGGGGTGGCAGTCTATCCCATCACTGTCTTGTTGAACACATTTTCCCAAGCCGCATTCATATTCATGGGACCATAAACAAAATCACAATAGGTTAGCAGAAAAGGATGACTAGAGGCAACCTGATTCCTGCATCAAACTACTCAAGTAGCCAAACCCTGAAGAATGCCAAGAAACTGCAAGAACAGAGGTGTATGTTAGCATAGTTTAGTACAAAGAGATCTTTGGTTTAGTGTATAAATAATGTCTTTAAAAAAATAAAGCCAAACAACTCAGGAGAATGCTTCTAGAAAGTATATGCTCCCCAATAGCAAAATATGGGATACTAGAGCCACATTTTGAGGCGTGACATGCTTTTTTCTGTGTTCCATAAGGAAAGGACTTTCAGAAGTAGTTATCTTATATCTTTTGGGACATGTTTAAGTACCCATGAAGCCAGGTACATAGCTCAAGATCCAAGTCTAATTGTTTTCAAGTGCTTTGAAGGTTGACCACCTACTGCTTACCTTTCTAAATTATTAAGTGTGACATTGACTAAATAACAGAAATAGATCTTTCTCTGCATCTCATCATCTTGTGAATGTAGACGCACTTCTGAAATCACATCTGTATAGAACCTGAGCATTCCTCTGCTTTAAGTTCCCCATGGTTTTTATTTATAGAGCAGATCTCCTTTGAAGGTTGAAACTTGCAGTAGTTTTTAAACACAATGTTTTTTATATTAAATTCAGAATAAAAACCATTAATATCAATCATGACACAGGGCCATATTATATGGAACTTGAAAGAAAAGCAGTCTTAAAATACCAATACATATCTGTTTGTTTAAAAGTAATCTTGGTGCATCTCTGTTCTGACATATCATATTATTGTATTGTTTAAAAACAAATTCTACTCACCCTGTTCACCAGTGAGAACCACTTTTGACAGCATGGATCGGAGAACAGGAATAGGCATAAAGCAGAGCAAAGATGGCACTCTTACTGTGAAGCAAGGAATCAGTCATGAGACACTGAAGTAATAAAAATCCAGGGTTTTACAAATACATTGCAAATGAATTAGTCATATACTTTTGAATGCTCAGTTCCCCATATAGTAAAAGGCAATAGAAAAGTCAAACTAGAAGCACACTGAGACACAATTATCTAAGCACAGAGAAATTAATAAATCCAATATATCTGTATGGCACTAAAACCAAATAATAAGCAAGTAATTCTGTCCTCTGTCCACACACTTCATCTTTTAATTAACGCCTACATCAGTCTGACCAACCTTGTGTACTTTACCTCTCCATGGCCCTTTCAAGATGCTATGTCCACTACCTACCAACTGCACTCACTACAGATAACATAGCAGTATTTTCATATATATTGTTGACCATGGAACAATTGATTCAGAACTCACCTAAAAACATGAGCAGGGTAGTTTTAGCGAAGGCAGCCATGACCATTCCTCCAATGTAAGAAAATATCCCGATAAAGACAATATAAATGTCTTTGAGACATTTAGAAAATAAGTAAACTCCTAAAAAACTGGTCAGAGAAACAGAAGTGAATGCAGCTGCTCCATATCCAATGTATACTTCATTCCAGCAGAGTGGCTCATCCAGTTCATACAGTGTAAAAAGCGAACTCCCACCAACCATAGTAAACAAATAAGTCATAAATATAAAAAGTAACACAATTATCAAAATTCTCTTTTTATAAGGGGCAGTTTTAAAAAGCATGTACACGCCACAAAATGTCTCTCTAAGAAGTTCTTTACAGGATACTGGTGCCTCATGCTGGAATTCAGACACGCCTACTGTATCTTCCAGAAAAAATATAATATAGATAATATTAATGACATGAAGCAGAGATGCTGTCACAAATGTCCATGTAAAGCCTATTCCTCTTAGAAAGTAGCCAGATGACAGCCCTGCCAATCCAGATACAACTCCAAAAATCAAATCCACCACAGCTATTCGTGTTGTTTTCTGCTTCTCATCGTGACACACATCTGCTATAAAAGCAAAGCCTCCTCCAAGGAAAGTTGCCATACTCCCAAACAGTCCAGTAACAAATGCAACCGCAAATAGGATAGAGAGGGACAAGGAAAAATACGCTATTACAGTGAGGCAAATATCAGCAATCAAAGCTCCCGTTGATGGTAAAACTAAAGACCTTTTGCGTCCCTGGCGATCCCCATTAGCTACAATGACAAAGGCAACTATAAGGCTGGGAACTGCCCCAGTTAAGTCCAACTGCATATTAAAAATAGAGGCTTTTTCTTGAACTTCCTGCAAAGAGAAAAGAAAAATAATTGTAGATACTATAATACATTGTAAAAAAAAAAAAATACATAATCTATGTTAATAGATTAGTATGTAATATAATGTATAGCACAGGGCATGTTTATAGATTATAAATTCTATTATTATAAAACATGATGATACATTATCATTTTATAAGATTATATGAAATTATATTACGCTATAATAAAATACATTACTGTATGTTTATAAGAATGCATTATATTACAGTAATCACTAATGCAAAGGGATTGCATATTCAAAGACTCGCACTTTTGTAATTTTAACTTTCATATTCCTCAAACATCCTCTGTTACATTTTAAGCCAGAACTTACTTCTTAAAATACAGTCTTACTAGTACTCTTGACAGAGAAGTTTCAATGGAGACAAGAGAACACTTCTTTTGAACATACATTTACAAGAGCTGGTGCTTATACTCTAAGTATCTCCTTCAGTACAGTGTATGGCAAAAGGACACTGGGCCTATTTTAATCTCTTGGAAATCAGTAGTAAAACAGTCTTCCATTGAGGAAGGCACCCTATGCTCCCTACTCACAGGAGATCATATTTCCTCCCAAATAATCCTACTGAGAGGGTTACAAGAAACAACTCACTGACTAGCACATTGTGCAAGTAAACAGATCAGTATTTGCTCTGACATCCCAATGTACAATGTTAATAATAATAATAACAATAAAAATGTGAAACACAGCATTAAAAATTATACTGACTCACAGATATGTGAACTAACTGATTTTTAAAACACTGGAAAGCTCCGAGTTCAGAAACTGCCCAAATCAGTGATGTCTCCATAGATACACTACAGCAGGTACTCACATAAGGAGCAGCAGCTAACGCTACAATAAACTGTAAACACCCATTATGGGAAAAATTTCTGAGTTCTTTTTAACAGAAGCATAAAAATCAAATGTAGCTGAAAAACAACAGTCAGGTTAATAGAACATGAATGGCTGTGGAAAAAAAGAACTAAAGAAAAGCCAATTAAAAAAAAAGACTATCTTGTTATGAAGCCAGCTGCTAAATGACAGTCAACAAGCTAATTCAGATTTTGCATTTAATATATTGATGCAGGCTAGACAGACAGCAGCCGCGACAGCCTTTTCAAAGACAACCACCTGATCAGACAGGAGAGCAGCAGGGGAAAAGGAAATAACTTCATTCAACCCTTTATAAGATAAACTTTCAGATGCAGAGACTAAAGTCACACTGAAAGTTCTCTTCAAGTTTTCTGAGGTATCACACTGACTTGGGCAGGGGTTGCACTCTTCAATCAGTAGCAGGCACAGCTGTGTAAGTCTTCCCAAGCCATTCTCAGCCTATATTCAAGCCATCTATAATCCACGTTTCAGGTGTTTCCTCTGTAGCGAACATAATCCCCACTGAGTAGTATCCAAAAGATGAAAAAACCCTAGAATTTCCAGGAATGTACTCTGGGCAATTTTAAAAGCTGCTGAATGCTTTATAAATTCATGTTTATACTTACAGGCAAAGACCATGAGTTTCTAGTTCAATCTCTTCCTTTGTTTACAAGATAGCAAGTTTTATTGCAAGAGGAAAATTCAACTGATCCTGAGGCCCTCAAGGAAAGCCCTCAAGATCCCCAGCACTCTGGAGTCTTTTCTCTCTTCCCTTGTGGTGTCTGACTACCTTAGGATTCATGATGTCCTGTCCAGTGGCCAGCACTGTTGTCACCCTGGAAGGGTCAAAACCATGAAGACTGAACAAACTGAGATGGAAAATTACATTCTGACCTTTAACTCCTCCCCTGCTGACAAAGAGAACTCTATGTAGTTGCAGGCATTGCTTCTTTGCTGGGATTATCATGTTCAAAGACATGAGCATCAAAGAAATTCTAATACATTAGAAATAAAACTAAATGTTATTATACATCATCTTAACCCACATTAACCATACAATATAAATATTACTGCCAAACCATAATGAAGTGTAAAACTGAAGGAATAAAACAGCAAAGACTTGCGTTTCATTGTTCTGGAAGTAGTTGCGCAACATAAAGAACACAGCTACACATCCAGATACCGCAAATAACCATAACCTTGCTGACATAAATGACTTGCTATCTACTGACAAGAAGACTAAAAGACAGAAGTACAGGAAAACTCCATTTAGAGTGTAAGGCACTCAACTGCCTACTTTATGTTTTTATAAAGTCAAGGGAAAGGAACATAGAAAATGATAGGTCAAACCTTAAGCTGCTTTAAAATCATGTAACTCTATTAAATAATCAGTGGAACTACATACATTTGAAGAGAAAGGTCTAGTTTTTTAATCTGCAAATTCACTCTACTCTGAAAAAATACTCATGGTGGACACAAAGAGTTCTTAAAATCACAGATTTAAAAATTAGAAGAATGACAATGAAGCAGCAATTCACTTACATAAGGATTAAATTAAGAGAGAAGTGTAGCGCCTGAGGCTGAACAACATACAGGACATGATAAACTGACGGGCTCATAACATTAAAAAATATTATTGAGTAGCAAAGGAAAATGCATGGATTGGATAATATATAACCTGGATAATAAATAATGTTTAATGATTAACAATATAGCTCTTTCTGAGCTAAAAAACCCCCATTATCCAAGTCAGTGATTGGAATGCTTCAGCTTGTATTCAAATTACCTTTGAACTCATTTCATTATAAAATGACTAATTTCCTTCAAATTGTAAGAAATAATTAATCTAAATGCTGCAAAGACTATCTATATTCTACTTTTTTTGCAGGCTCCAAGTGATTTTTGCCTTCAATTTCCTTGTACATTTTGCTTTCAAACAGGTGAGATTAGTATAAAGCTTCTCCATTCTCAGAATGGAAGGACTTAATCAACTATTCAACTAAATCAACTATTAACGGAGGCATTCTTCTAAAAGTTAATGCCAAACAGGGCCTGTTGGAACACTCCTGACAGGAGGGGGGGGGTTATTTATTTATTTTTTACAATAATTTGTAACAAATTTTGTTACACACATTTACAACATCTGTAAACATACGTCAGTTAGGATGGTCTTGGAAAACCCAGAATACCTGCTTCACATACCCTCAGCAAAGGGCTTGGGCCTGAGTTACTGGATCTACTCTTTGGCCCACACACAAGACTATTTATTACTCAGCACAGAGACTGGGTTCCACTGAAATTAATGGGTGTTTAGAGCATTTTACATTCTTATACTGTGGCAACAAGTGTGGTATCAGAATGCAAGCAAGACATCCAGACAAGAGGATAATTGTTCAAAAGCTCATGCCCTGCTGGCAATCATTGAAATGGAGGGAATGGAAATTTGGCAGGAAAGGGAAACAAGGAAGTTCTGTTGGCCATTATTCAGCTACTGTCTTGAAGGGTTTATGTTCTCAAATATCAAGCTAATAATACTTTGTAACCTTTATGCCAAACAACCTGTAATGTGTGAATTCACCACCACGAGAGACGCTATCTAAACTCCAACTGAAATTAAGCACTCTGCTTCAGTGTTTTGCAAAAAGAAATATGAAGTTTTATATCCTGACTCATAGGTGATCGCAATGTGAAAATCGGGTTGAATTTGGGGGGGGGGGTCTAGGAAATGCAAAGTGCAGAAATGTTTGTGAAATGTAGGTTTCTTGATGGGCTCTGCGATTAGAACTGTATGAACCATATGTGGTTTTCTTAGAGTTGCTCATTCTATACAACAAAATGCCCCCACATAGCACCAAACGAGGAGCTAATTCTAAAGAAAACACTTTGGGGGAGTGACGTACAAGCATTACTCAGACAATAATTGGTTATTATCTCCAAATCAATTCCAATGGGTAGCATACATTACCTTCCTCAGCTGATGGGTTAGCCCAGAAGGCATGCTGGACTACGATTCTATTGACCCTTTTTACTTTCACATCCTTTCTACTAAGACTGGCTTCTGTCACATGAGGAAGAACCTACTCCACACTAAAAATCCTAAATTATTTCTTTGATCATCTTCAATGGAAGCACGTACCATTAAAAAATTTATTTTATAAACAACAAATGAGGCAGATAAGCGCAGGTGATTAGTCTTGTGCATACACAGCACATCTGGGACGTGAGCAAAAATTTTCAAGTGCCACCTTTTCAGCAGCATAGGGGAATGCCAGCTGACTGTTTCCATGTAATATAACTCTGTCTTCCATGTAATTTACAGTCTGAGTCATCTACTCTTCTGACCCTACAGTGGTTTCATGTTCCACTTGATCCAACCTAACTGCCAGTTGTTGTTGCCAAGGATGGTTCTATTGTACCTCTTCTGGAAATGTGTTCCCTCTGCCATTCCCACGTGAGATACAGCAATCCCATGGCCACAGAGTGTGTCAGAGCAGTGCACTGCTTCAGAAAAAAACAACACTTAAAAAGCAACAAACACAAAAAAAGAGACGAGCATTCTGTTGAATGAGTGCCCCAGTCAAATCCAAACTGTAACCTCCAACTGCAGAATTGCGAGATACAACACGTGGGGGGGGGAGCCACAGGGGGAGAAGGGAATGGAAAATGGGAGTATGATCATCTCTTCTGCTGGCAGCCCATAGTTAGCTCTGCTTAAGTGTAGCATTAAAACTGCATTAGAAGAGATTCCAATCAACAACTAGCTATCCAGCATGCTGAACAATGAAAAAGTGCTAAAAAATGTAATTGACCACGGGATGCTGTCATCTTGATGTCTTTGTATTTCAGCAAGGCAGACTAGCACTCTGAATGGTAAACCATCAATTATATTTGACTGTGCAATTCTTTTTCACATTATAAAATTAGAAAAAGTTTTATTTCAATCTCCTCCCTCCTTCATTCTTGTAATTCCTCTGAAATAAATGTATTCTAAAGTAGATCCTATTCCTGAAAACTGCAGGACATTTGCTGAACTCTGCGTAGTTACAAAGAACACTAAAAGTCAGAAAGACAACTGATGGCTCATGACCACATGCAGAACCGTCACCGGCACTTCAGTGGTACCCGCTGTCACCTCAGCCCAACGCCAATTTGGGCCCAATCCTCCCAGAAGATTCCCGGCTCGCGCTAAAATCTGAATTTACCTCAGCACCTTCCCGGAGCCAAACCTTTGCCCCTAAAGCACGACAGCGACCTACAGGAGCCATGAGACAGCAGGTTACAGAACTAGGGCTCTTCCGTACGCAGAAGGTTAAGTAACGTTATATAAAAGGAGAGACAGCACCTCCTGGCTGCAAGTTTATTTACAATTATCACTTTTTCCTCCCCCCCCAAGGCCCTTACCTTCTGCTTGATGTAAGCCGGGCTGCTTTTATTCTGCTCGCAGGCACTGGCGTTGCTGTCGCTGACGAAAGTGGAGTTGTACTCCTCCTCCCACAGCCGCCGGTAGATGAACTGCTGCACCAGCGGGCTGGTCAAGGAAGACGCGAACATGTAGATGAAAATGACGGGCTCCACGCACAAAACCTTCCTCATGGTCCGGCTGTGCCCCGCGGGCGCTGCTCCCTCCCGCCCGCCCGCTCTCCTCCGCCCCAGGCCCCCGGCGGAGGTCGCGCAATGCCGGCGGGGCCTGACAGCGGGAGGCGGGACGAGGCGGGCGGCCCCGTCCCTCAGCGGGGGAGTCTCGTCGTCCCTCCCTCCCGCCCGCCCGTTCGCGTCCCGCCCAGCGCTGAGGGGACGAAGGCGGCCGCCGCCATCTCGCCCCGCTCTCCCTCAGCCCCTCGCGGCCTGGCCGGGCCGAGGAGGAGGGAAGCGGGACGAGGGGACGCGGCCTCCGCCGCGGCCTGCGGGCGGCCGTCGCCTCAGGGCGGGAGAACGGCCTCCCCCTCCCCGCGGTGTTCATACCCACACACAGTTTCTGCGGCGTTGCTGCTAGAAATCGGGACAAATCAGCAGTTTCCTGATTTCACCCGCCGAGCAGCAGCCTGCCAAACGCTCGGAGGGTTTGTTTCGGCCGGTTGCGCAAAGAGGATCTTTCCCACCGGCCTCTGGCCTCGTTTTACACCGTTTAAACCCACCTGCCCGGGGGTTGTTTCTGCTCTGTGCTGCCGTGTTTTCGGCTCTCGACTGACATGATGTAGAGGTTTTGGTATAGCTGCTCCCTTTCCACGTGCCGCTGACTTGTCAGGGTGTGTAAGAGCAACATTCGTGAGCCACCAGCTGCTCTGGGGTTGATGCCTCTCATTCCGATCGAGTCCGACGTAGCTGGTGGCCTGTCTCTGCGTTGGGACAGCTGCTGCGGCACACGCTTCGGTTCGACGAGAGAGCTCACGCTGGTGCAGATCCACGGTTGTGCTCTTCAGACGGGACCTCTGCCCACCTGGATGTACGCAACGGAGGGAGCACGCCCTGGCATCGGAGCTGTAAAACTTCGGGATGTGTTTTTCTTGCACAAACTACAGAAGCCATGGCTGCTCGATGGGTTACGGATACTGGTTTGTCTCTGCTTTGAGGTAGGGTGCTGCGGGACAGACACCGCAGTACCCCTGCTCTCTTATTTCTCTTCGGTGCGCTGTCATCTTAAGACACTGAGTAATGATTCTGGCTCCTTGCAGGTGTGGTACAAGGAGAGGTGACACAGTTGGGAGTCCCAAAGGACCTCCTTTCAGTCTTAAAGACTGCTTTTCAGCTACATATATTGCAAAAAGTCGTATTTGCTAAAAGCACATCAAAACTTCAAAGGTTGCCTGGTGTATTTTTTCTCCTAAGAAGTGTGATTTAATAACTTCATGAATATTCAGTTCCTTCATAAACTGATTTGAAACTCGATTAACTGTAACGTGGGTCATATGATCTCAAATAAGGCTTGAATTTGTTTCACTGGCATGTGACATGTCATTCAGTCCCAAATTTAGGGACAACACTGGCCTGTCATGTGTCTCTTAGCATAGGATCAGCCCAATGTAGAAGCTTGGTGGCCTTGATCATTTACTTCGGATGGTGAACTCATTTGGTCTGGCAGATAGGCCTGCTCACAGAGACACACAGACAGAGATTAAAAAAAAGGGCACCTCTGGCCTGAGATCAACTGTAGAGAGTATTGTCCTTCTCCTTGACCTATCCAGGTCCAAAGTCTGACTCACCCTGTGACAGTATTTTGTTTGTCACAAGGTAAAGCAAAAACAATCATGTGAGGGTTACACATGAACAGGCTGCTAGACGAGAGGGGCTGTTCAGGTCACTCAGCCAGCCGTTAACATTTATTTGGATGTAGCGAAGAAGGGATTTTAAGCCTGTGGGAGGTTTATGTTCCACAGAAGGATATTGTCCAGAGCCCCATTAGGTCTCTTGCTATGTCCATCTGTGCTCAAGAGCACGTCGTTCATGGTGTCTGAGTGCAGCCCAGGTTGCTGGGCAAAACTCTTTTTAGCTAGCAGTCCCTTCAGCACAGCCTTACCCACACCAAGGAGCGAAGCTCTGGCTCTGCGCTCTGGAGAGGTCCTCCACTCCTGTCCTTCCAGTAGCTGTGTTCAAGTTTGGGCTTGGTTTTGTAGAGCCAAGTGGCTCCAGCAAAGTTGTGGCCTCACCAATGCTGAAGGCAATGCTGCATCACGAGCTGGGCGCCTCTAAGCACCTGATTATCTTAGTCCAACAGTTTGAAGCCTGCTCATGAGTATCTTCTAGTGCTGACAGGTAACATATACCCCACACGCAGGTGCACTGGAACAGACTTGGCCCTCCCTTGTTCCCAGTCCCCCCCCGCAAGGGGAACTAAAAGCAATAGATGTGATTGAACTTTTAAGATCAGACTTAGCCAGGTGATGCTTATCCTTTGCAGTTAAACATTTCCAAATAACAGAATACATGGCAAACTAGCGTCCTCTCTCCCCTATCACCAATATTCACATTGGCCCAAATTTGAGTGATATGCCGGTGAACAGACTTCACGAAGGTCACAGGCCTGTAGTGGCTGCAGCTTTGCAGTTTGTATTGTTTGTTTACTGACATCCTCAATGTGTGAAGAATTGAAAGAGCATGTGTATTCATTGTGGAGGTCAGGCTTTCTGGGAGCGCTTGCTAGGTTTTCCATAAAAAAATCTTAAAAAACAAACAGATTACTGATCTTTGAAGGTGATATATTGCTTGTGTGTCAGGGCATGGAGAAAAGGTGACTTGTAATGAAGTTCAACCTTCAGGACATTAGGAGACTTTTGAGAGATCCCACCAGCACTGGTCTAAGGGCAAAGACATGTTACCTTCAGCGACAGAAATCTTCAAAGCCTCCTGCACTTCAAGGAATTATTCTTGATTTACGTGGCAAGATCTTGGCATTCAGTGATTGCTACGATTGCATTCTCAGACAACTTTGTTGCTGCAAACAAAAGAGCAATTTTTAATTTTTTGGATAGTCTGGATAGTCACATTTCTTGCTGAAAAGATGAGTAGTGCTTTAATAAATAATATTGCCATGTAAAACATGATTTTAATTGCCTTCTAAGAATTTAAGTACTTTTTAAAATTGAGGTGACTTTAATTTTCCATTTTAACAATCTACTGAGATCATGGAGAACCTTAGCCTTCTACAAATCATTTGTGGATTACAGAGTGACAGTAAGAAGTACCATATCTACTTCTATTCAACTCATGTTTTAACGGCTATCTTGATAACGATGGTTAACACAAATTAAAAAAAGAAACTAAAGAGGGAAGAGAGAAGCATACTTCCTGCAGAGAGTTGACTTTATACAAAATGCAGTTCTGCAGAAACCTTGCGTACCCTGCATCTTGCCCATGAGCATGGCCAATGGAGATACATGAAGGAAGTTCTCCAAATGCTACCGCTGGGGGAAAGGAGAATAGAATAAGCTGCATAATTCTGCAGAGGCTTGTCTAGGTTTAGATGTAACTATTTGTTTTGTTTCAGTATAACTGAGTTGATTGCTGAAGCTTGAATGCAAGCCCTGACAACAGAGAGTAGTAATGAAGATTTAAATATAAGACTGAAAGAAAACATGATAAGGAAAATTTGTGCAACAAATCCAACCACACAGTTTTGAAGTACCTCTTTTATAAAAAGAGACAGGGAGAGACTGTTACAGTCATCCAACAGAGAGAAAACCCATGCTGGTTTCATATCACTAATTTTCATTCAGTGCAGATCATCACTGATTTTCAGGGCCTAAAATGGCATCTCTGATCTTTGACTGTTTACACAGCTAAAAGCATCTGCCCCAGCAAGTGCTCACTGACCTGCAGCCCAGGTAGTGCAGAGAGGCTCACGCCTTCAGCACTCTCATCTCCGACTGGCCCCGTCCATGCTGTGTAGCATTTGGTCTGAGTCTCCTTTGGCCCCATGGGGTAACTGAAAGCCACAGATAATCATAAATAATAACAGTTTTGTCTTTTTGCAGCCCAGAATATTTGAAACAATGTGACTAAGTTCATCTGGTGTGGAAGAAGGTGCTTGAAAGGTATGGGCAAGGACATCCCACCGACCCAGCGTTGCTGAAAATGGGGTGTTGTTCTGAACCCCTCTGTCACAGCATGAGCACTACTTCTGACTGTAGTCTCCATGCCATATGGTACTTAATACTGTTCTTAAGTACTGTGTTGAAAATTTGTGTCCTGACGTGTAAGGCATCAAGATATATTTATTTTCTCTGAATTAGATGACCTTAACAGAACTGATGTTCTTGCTGGCCTCTCATCACGCACACCACATAACAGCAGCCATTTCTAAATGGTGTGATTTATTCAATATTTTTGCTTTTCAGCTATTTTCCTCTTATGTATTTGCAAGTCCTCAGTGCTCGTCTCTGATTATTTCGTATCTCAGATTTAGATATTTCCATTAAAAGCCCTTCGTCTTGGTGGCTTTTCTGTTTAGATGACTTAGCAGAGGAGAAGTTCACAGCTCCCTTCACTGGGAGCTGGGTTCAAGTGCAAGCTTATGTGGGCAGCCTGTTGTGGTTTTGTTCAGTCCAAAACAAAGCTACAAGGAGCTATTAGACCTGCTGTGGCTGGCTTTCAGGCTTCTCAAGGATTTGAAATTTATTTTATGCACCTGCTTGGTTGTGTTTGTGGGGGTTTTTATTTTGGTTTTTTTCTTCCTGTTTTGTTTTCAATTACATTTATGTACTAGACATATGATAGTTCTTCACTGTAGATAGGTGATTTAAGTTGTGTTAGTCTGACTGCATTGCTTAACACAGAATTTCTGCTGAGCTGTTTTACAACTCCAATTTAGCACCTTGGTCTTACTTTGCAAAACCACTTTGAAAAATAACTAATGGTAATGCTGTCCTGCCTGCCACCCTCTGTCCCCTCCCTGCGAAGCTGTTTATTGGGTGGGGATGATCAGCAGCAGGCTGGAGATATTCCTGGTTACTGTGACTCAGCAAAGTGCTGCTCCCTTTGGTCTGTATTCCACTTC